GATAGCTGTACTGTGAATCTCTGTTGGTCTATGGAAAGGAGTAATGTTTAGTTTTTGCCTTTTCTTATTATTTAGTATGGTGTCTACAGGATCTCACTAAACAGATTGGACTTGTAGTGATCATTCCTGTTTTTCAGCCTCTCGAGACTGGGGTTAGGGCACTCACAGGTGCCACTAGTCCCAGTCTCAATCACTGTTTCAGTATGCCCTGGGGATGGGGCCAGAAAGGTAGGCTGGGGATTGAACCCCTGGTCCCTGCGTCTGCCTAAGCAGGCACTTTAATCTGCTGAGCTATCTGGCTGGCCTTATTTTTGGTCTTCTTTTCCTCACTTTTCCTTCTTTCTCTATTATTAATTTCTTATAACATTTTTCTTTTTCTTTCTTTTCCCAATTTTGCATACATGTATCTAGAAACCTTAACAACTAAACTGATGACAAGGCAATGCAGTACAACAAATGTGGTTCAATTCATATTATTCTGAATACAGAATTCAGAAATTCTGTATCATTTCTAATGTTCTATTACTATTTTATATTGTCTTTTATTTTTTTATTATTTTTTTTAATGTGTGTGTGTGTGTGTGTGTGTGTGTGTGTGTGTGGCCAGCTTAGCCCACCAGGGGGCGGGCTGGCTGGCATGTGGTGGCTGGGGGATTGAACCGTGGTCCCTGTGCTTTGCTAAACTTGTTCTAAGTAGGTGCTTTAGACCACTGAGCCATCTCACCAGCCCCACTATTTTATATTGTCTTTTAAAATTAAAAAAGAAAGTATATATTTCAGCTCTAACATTTTAAATTTCTACATTAGTCATATAATCAGCAAAAAATTCCTACCCAAATACACCAAAAAGCAAATATAGTTAAGAATGTTGAACGATGACGTGCAGTTTAGTGGAGTGAGAGATTTTATCTAGGAGTTAAAATAATAGTAGAATCTGCCTATTAGAAACACTCATCCTGGTTCTATGTTAAATATCGTTTTTATAAATTTTACTGCATTTCCTTATGGTGTTTCTCTGTTTAGAATGTCAATTAGTATTGATCTGCTGTTACTAAATTATTTTAAAATGTTTCCATTTTACTATTCCTTGATAGGAGTACATTTTATTAAACATGAGTTATCACTCCCAATTCCTTCCTCTCATTCCTTCCTTGAGTAATTATGCAATAGTACATTGCATGGTTTTACATATGATGTACCAGAATACATTTTAGAGAATCACAGAAACTGTTTAACAAGTGTGCCTTTTTGCCAATTTCCCAAGCTGAATTTCCATAATTTCTGCTTTCTCCAAACTTCAAAGATTATGAAAGCATAAGAGCTCTATCGATACATGTCATTAATCTCATTGGGGACAATTTCCAGAAAGTTTTAATTGCCTTTTGTAGTTAGGATCTGTGGAAAAAAGTTGTTCAAACACATCTTGTTTCCCAGAGCCTCCACTATCATTGTCAATTTGGATAAAATGATAATTATAATTCTGAGGAGAACAGAGGTCAGAGATTCACAGACCTTTATATCAGGGTCCAGATGCCTCCTTTGTGTGCAATACTAGCTGTCATGATGCACACGCTGAGCCTCCCATTCTGTAAAGGCAAGAACTCCAATGAGTACTTTATGCTTCCGTCTCAGAGGTGGTCATTAAGGTCAGAAAACTGGAGTAAAAGCATATGTCTGGAAAAGGTTTCTGAACTAGAAATACATCTATGAGGATTTCAGGAATAAAGGGAAATGTTTTTAGCTATGAGCTGAGCCACTGACGACACATGACAGTCCCACTTCTATTCTGAATCCTGACAGTTTCTCATAGAATTCATGAAATCTTTGTTAAGGATGAGTGTCAGTGAAGAATCACAAGTACAGTAAAATGAGATTTTATGTGCTTAAGGATGGTGGGAGTTAAATGTAGCTGTTTTTCCCTCTGTCAGTTAGCAAGGACAATTAGCAAGATCATCACTATCAATTCATGCTTATGGGAAGAGTAGAGTTGCAGTACTGCCTACTTCTATGCTGAATCCTTGTATCTGAAATAATTTCTGGAAGAAAATGATTTTTTAAAAGCTAACTTTATTTTTTATATTGCACTTAGCAGAAAGAGTAATTGTCATCTACTGAAGACACCTTCACCTGGATGATTATGGTGAGCCCACTTTGCAACATGAATTAAGAAAAGTAGCATTCACTGGAAGGGAATATTGAATTACCATGTGCTTCAGACCACAGCTGCTATGATTGACTAAGCATCTTATTGCTTTCTGTGGATTAAAAATTTTCTTTGTATATTTAGCTGAATTTATAGATGTGGCTCAGTGGAAAAACACTTTGCCTTGCATATGTGATGTCTTGTATATTATTGTCAGCAGTGCAAAAAGTTAAAAAAAAAGGTTGAGTTTTACACTAATTTTTTCATTGAGAGTTACCATTTTAAGGCTAAAAATATGCTATACAGGAATGTACCACTGAGGAACATATCCCCAGCCTCCATATAACAGTTTTAGGTATTGATCTAATTTGTGAAATAAATGTCATTACATCTAGCCCCTTAAAATTATTACATGGCATTATGTTTTGTGTCTAGCTGTGCCCCCCAAAGCTTCATGCAGTCATGGGGGTGGGCTTCTAGAGTCTGTGATTAATTCATCAGCCAAAACTGGGCTTATGAGTGTGAGTGATGCTGGGATTATAGGTGGAAGCGCTACACCCACCATGGGGCAGACAGCCTGACTGAAAGACAAGGAAGGGAGAGATGTTTGCTTTCTGCCTCTGCGTGCTGCAGCTGCTGCCATTGTTCCTCCTGTTTTGCTTTTTCCCAGTACCATGAGCTGGTGCCCTCCACCATGTGCTACTTTCTGACTTGGAGCCAGCTGAGTATGGAATGAAAACTCCATAAGCTGTGAATTAAATAAACCTTTCCTTCCCTAACTTGGGGTGTTGGGTATTTTGTCAAAGTAATGAGAGAATAGTAACTGAAACGCATGCACAAGAAAATCTGCAATATACGTACAGTGTCATAATGATCTCGAGAACTTTCTTCTTTCCTGGGATGTTGGTGTTGTCATTTAGCAACCCTCAATTCCCTCCCACGTAGGCCCCTGCCACCAACATTTCATATCTAGTTTTTATGACATAGAGTGCTTTAGATTTCATATAAAATTAAGATCATTGACTATGCGTTCATCATTGCATGGCTTTGCCCAACATATTAAATTGTATCCACATTGTCAACTATGGCACAATTATCTTCTTTTTATCTAATTTTCTGCTTTTAAACTATCTGAATAACATTTGGCACACACAAGCAGCATTTGTTACACGCATTTTTAGCATTTGTTACATGCAGGTTTTCATTACTTTCTTTTTAACAGAGAAAAAACAATCAAAATGATGCAAAATTAGAACACAATCATTTGTATGGGCCCAGTTTAGTGGAGTTTCAGAAGTGGAATATAAGTCTTTAATAAAGATGAACTAAGAAACACAATATTTTTATCAGCCTGAACCTCCTTTTAGTGTCATCTAGGTCACTAACATAAGGTGTAGTTCAGTTGGACATACATATTGAAGTCCACCACATAGACATACAGTTATAGTTACAACATTGTAATACTTTCCATATTAGATCACTAATAACTTTATACTAATAAATTTAGTGGGTTCTGTCAATTTCAGCATTTGCATGCATTAAGACTGTTGGAACACTTTCCTTCATTTTTCAATCTTACTGATAGTATTCATTGACATTGATCTATAGAATTTCCTTGCTTAAATATCAAATAATCAAGTAGTTTTTTTCTGTATTTATGACAGGGTCTACAGGGTCTCACTACATAGGTCAGACTCATAGTGATTCTCCTGTTTTCAGCCTCCCAAGTGCTGGGATTACAGGCATGCACCACCACACCCAGTCTCAATCACCTCTCAGCATGCCCCATGGGTGGGGCTGGCATGGCATGCCAGGGATCAAACCCGGGCTGCTGTGCTCTGCCTAAGCAGGCACTTTATTCCACTAAGCTATCAGGCTGGCCCAATCAAGAATTTTTTTAATGCTAATGATCATGACATTGGTTGTCTATTGAGAGATTTTATGAGAAGAAAAGAATATTAGTGTATAGAGGTATGTCTAACTTGTATTTTTGTGACCCATCTTTGAACTTCTGTTGAGTAATTGTAAGAAATGAAATTACTGAAATGTAATTTTTTCTTACGTGTCTGTAGAGATACTAACCGATAGTTTCTATGTTACTCATATCCATTATAGCAGCCTCACCACAAATATACATGTTCTTTGTGTTTCTACATTCTCCCTTACCTTGGTACTTCTTGCCATATTTATTTTAGCTTTGTCTATGATGTGTTATGCTACTTGGTAGTAGTTTTATTTCAATTTTCCTGATTATTAATGTTAGTGTGCATATTTCGCTTCTGTATTACTAAATAATATGCAATTTGAAATCATATTTTACTCTCTTGTATAACCTAGTAGGACCGTTAATGATCAATACATGTATTTATCTCTAGGTCTCTCAGCTCCATCTCCACTTTTATCTCCCTCATCCTCTACCCTCTGTTCTTTTGCTTTTTTTATGAAATTGTGTGTCTTTGTTTGAAAACAGTTCTAATGTTTAAAAGAATATGAAATTTCATCCATAGAGTTAATGTTTTCTAGGAAATATTGCATTCTTCTTCGAGTCAATGAATTAATTTTCATAAAATATTTGATATTCATCTTATAGATTATATTTGTAACTGATTCAAAATTGATCTGTGTGTACACAGTGCATACAAAGTGATTTTTCCTTTTGAATTATACCTTAAGATTTGCTTTCTTTCTATATGCTGTCATTACTCCTTTTTTTTTCTCAGTTTAACACCAGTTTATCCTTAGTTATGACTTTTCTCTGAAATGTGCTGAAAATTCTTTTTAACTCCTCTAGTTTTTGGGGATCTTCACAATCCCAAAGCCAAAAACCTCCAAGATTGTTTGTTGTCGGTATTTTACAATGGGAAATGACACTCAGACGAATGATTGTTATAACAATTTAAATGACATTTTAGAAATAAATGGCAAAATAACTTCCAAAGATTTGGCAATAGGAATAATCTTCTTGTCACAGGCTATCATTGGTGTCTTGGGCAATTTCTTTGTACTTTGGCATTATAATTTCATTTTCCAACGTGGAAGGAGGTTAAGGCCTACAGATGTGATTCTGAAGCACCTTTTTGTGGCCAACTCCTTAGTTCTTCTCTCTGGAGGAGTTCCTCGAACAATGGCAGCATTTGGATTGAAACTTTTTTTCAATGATTTTAAGTGTAAAAGTCTCCTGTACATTGAGAGAGTGGGCAGGAGGGTGTCAATGGGTACCATCTGCCTCTTGAGGGTCCTCCAAAACATCATGATCAGCCCCGTGAACTCCTGCTGGAAGAATGTTAAAGGCAAAGTTCAAAAGTATATTGGGTTCTCCCTTGGATCATGCTGGATCCTAAACATATTGATCAATTTAATTATTCCCCTGTATGCATGGTATTCATATGTACATGGTTATGACAGAATCATGAAAAAGCAATTGAATATAGGATACTGTTGTCTTATTGACTATGGGCTAGCCATTGGCTCAATCTATATAACAGTAGTAGTTTTTCCTGAAGTTTGTTTTTCTCTGCTTATAGTCTGGGCCAGTGGCTCTATGGTTTTCATCCTGTACAGACACAAGCAAGTGGTTCAACATATTCATGTGGCTAATACTTCCTTAAGATCCCCTGAGTCCAGAGCCACACACAGCATCCTTTTATTGGTGAGCACCTTCATATCTTTTTACACTGTGTCCACCATCATTCAAATTTCTATTACCCTCACTTATAATCTCCGTTTGTGGTTAGTGAATGCTTGTGATATCATATCTGCATGTTTTCCAACCATGAGTCCCTTTCTGATCATAAGCCAGGATTCCTCTATAATGAGGCATTGCTTTGCCTGCACAAGGAACACAAAACTTTTCGATCTTTTCTGAATTGGACAAATCATATATTCTGGCAGTACGTTTTTAAAAATTAATTTTATTGAGAAACAAATAGCAATGAGACAGTTTCAAAAATGATTAGTAGGACAGTTTCAATAATCAATATATTGCATATTGTTGTCTTCATAGTGGTTATTCATATTACAAGATGCAGACATGATATCCTGTCCAAACACTATTAGCACAAATCTTTCTTCTCACTGAATTAAAAGAAAGTAGCTGTATATCTATCCTAACTATTTTGTATATACAGATACAAAATGGTTCTTCATTTGTTTTTAAAATAGTTTTATTGAGAAACAAATAGTAACAAGACAGTCTCAAAACCAATTAGTAGGACAGTTTCAATAATTAATACATTGCATATTGTTGTCTTAGTGGTTATTCATTGTACAAGATGCAGACATGATATCCTGTGTCAGTATTTTCTGTTGTTTACTCTTCACTTTCTCTTATGAGTAATACAGGATCATAAGGAGAGAGGCCACATAATTTTCAGAGATCAACTAATGATTATCCATCTCAACGAAATCAGAGTTTCTTGGCAGAAATCCATGTTTGTAAAGTGGCTTGGCCCTGCTCTGGTGAATGCACTTCTAAATGAAGCATTGTTTGAGCCTATTTAAATGGACTTAATCTATTTTGATGATTAATCAAACCATTTTTCTAAATTTTTCACTTATAGACTCTTTTGGCAAAAGTGAATACAGTGATGCAATTGGTAAAAGATAATGTTCAAAGACAATTCTCTATGGGTCTCCTGTGTTCTGTTGAGAGTTCTATGCACTATTTTACCAATTACAATATTTGTATACTTATTTACACTAATAAAGAACCTTAAATGTTAGAATTACAGTCAATATTTATGGCAGAAAACAAAGTTTTTAGTGGAAAAGGAAATAAGATACCAGCCAAGCAACAGCAATACCAAAACCCCCCCAAATTTTGGAGCTCCAAAGAAAATGTATTCGCTCCTTGGGGATTTTGTTGTAGAGATGGAAAACCAGCAAACACACAAAGTCCTCTGTCTCATTTCTGTCTGATGAAATGATAGTTCTAAAAATGTCTGAGAAAGCTCCAGATCCTCTAGCTAAATCACAAATAGTCCTGAGAGTGAAAGAGAAATCCTTGAAAAGTTGAAAAGGGGCATGGATCTTGTATGTGCTACAATAATTGTTCCATGTCCTGATGCCCCACAAATATTGTATCTTTATATTTAGGGTAACTCCTTGCTTTTAGTATATCTTGTCCACGTCCCATTGTCAAAGCCAGATTGTAATCTTCCTCTTCCCTTTGACCATGCCCCAAATTCTATGGCCTGCATCAACGCCAAACTGCATTTGTAAGACATGTGATAATATCCAGGTACTGGGTGTTCTAGGGAGGGCAGAAAGAAAACTTGTGTTTATTAGGGTGCTTGTGGCCCATATCTGCAGGCTTCAAAGATCAGTAATAAGAATGTTGTCCATGCTTGAAGGACAAATGACCAAAAAGCCTGAACTTAGGAGAATATGGGAAAAACATGCAAATGGAACTTTTTAAGGCAGAGGGAGAGAATGCCTGCAGCAGCCTCAGTTAAGGCACGATAATTTGTGCACTTCCTTATTTCCCATTTTAGTGATAAAAATCTCTGGGGCATCGAATGCTGTAGAGAAAGTACTTTCCATTTTCTCACAGTTGGGGAGTTCAAGGGCATTCTCCTCTCTCTGCTCAGTTCTTGTGAGGGTCACCTGTGTGTCTCAATGGGAAAAGATATAATGGCAAGAGGAAAAGATCACAAGTGATAAAGATATATATTAATAAAGGTCTGCTTCAATTATCTTAGAGAACTACCTATGTTCCCATAAGGGATGCTGTGCTCATTCCCCATGCCAAACCATTCCCATAACCTCCTCCAAAGCTTCTCTTCCAAAACACCATAGCACATCTTACTATCACCATATTAGTAACCCAGTTTTCAATGTAAACATCTCTGCAAGGTGAATACCATCCGTACCAGAGCTTCCTGTTGGAAAAAGCATCCACGCCTGTCACAGAGAGTGAAAGGCCTTATGACATCTTTATTTATCGGTGAGAGAAAATTTCTGACAGGCACATATTAAAGGAGATGTAACTTTGTTTCCATAGCCCACAATATAGTCAGCTGGTGGCAAGGCAGAATATGACAACAGAAATGTAAGACAGAAAGTTGTTAGAGAAAGGCTTGTTGGAGGAAAGCTGCTCATGGCAGGGACAACAAAGAGAGGGTCACTGATAAGGTCAGCCAAGTACTCTCAGGATTTATCCTGTAGCCCTGTATCACCCTTTGTACATCCTTTTGTCAGTGTCAGACATGTGGATGAGTCACAGCCATTGCTTGACCAATTTGCTGTCTGTGAAAGCCTGAGAGAATGTTTTTTCTCTCCATGTGACTCTCCCCAGGCACACTCTACACCATCGATCACATTCCTCTGTAGCTCCATAATCTCCTTGATCAGAAAATTTGGAGCACAACTGAGTTACATGTAGTTACAGTACAGGTTCTCCTATTTCCTGATTCTTCACTGACCTTGAAAGGCCAGGGCCAAAATGTTGGCTGTCCTTGCAGCCCTTCCTTTTCTCCAATTTTGAACTGCTAACTTAGGTTGTTAACTCTCCAGAAGAGAAGCTAATTATTTCTTGTTATATAGATCTTGCTATATCTTGGTCTTAACCATCCAGCAGAAAAGTATAAAAATGAGGTATAT